TTTTTTTTTTCAATTCTGTTGACTAAAACATGTTTTTATTTCATATTATGTCTAAAGCTAAAAAAAGTATAAAAATGTTGACTGAATTATTGATCAACTGTAAAATAGGGATTTTTTTTTTTTCGTAAGTTTGTTCTGTTTTAAATATTATTTTTTCTACCTTGAATTCAATGTCATTATTTGTTATGTTTTTTCGTTAAAAACATATTATTGAGAAGACAACGATATATAAGAAACAATTTTACTACGAAAATTTTATTTCATATATTCATAAAAAAATCAAGATAATAAGAAAAATTTTATGGCAACTTTAGCAATTCCATGTACGAAATGTGCTAGTAAAGGTGTTGGAATATTTAAATGTCAAGGATGTTCTAATGTATTCTGTCGAAAACATGCTAGTGAACATCGTGATAATCTTAATCATCAATTAGATGAACTTAATACTGAACATGATCAACTTTATAATTTAATTAATCAAAACAATAATGGACATCATACATTAATTAATCAAATTGATCAATGGGAAAAAATTTCAATAAAAAAAATTCAACAAGTGGCACAAAATATTCGACAAGATATTATTCAATATATAAGAACACAAAAAGGTATAAATAGAGCATGGGTGGCACAGCTTCGATTTTTTAGGGGAAGCAATAAACTTTAAAATGAAACTATATTTTCCTCTCCTCAACACACATTCACAGTGAACAGTTCGGTATTATACATTTTCTAATGCGTGATTTATGAGAGACATAATATAATATTGAAGAGTTGACTGTTAATTCGTCTGTCACTGCCAACAGATTAAGAACTTCAGAGTAGTATAACGCTTTTTGAAAACAAGATCTATTCAAAATGCATTAGCAACAATTTAGCCTGTTGCCAGTACCTACTGCTCATTGGTGCTTCGATTTTTCATGTAATATTAATGTAAAAGTTATTTGACATTTTTATATCTCTTTTGTTTCAGAGAAATTATAGACGTAAGAAACAATTAAAAATGTGGTGGTCTTATCTTCTAGATTTTTTATTCAGTTGTTAACGTTAACAGTTAGTTTATCTTCTTTATGAGTAGACTTTTTTTAGCAACTAAGGATCGAAGTACAGTAACAAAAACTTGAGTTAGCTGATGTTCAGAAAATAGAGAAAAATAATATGCATGCAATGATTCGTCATGTGCTGAGTAGAAGTTATCTCAACATATTTTTCGAAATTATCTCTGGAAAATTAGTACTTTATATAGTATTATAATTAATGGCATTATTCAATTACAAAACTGAATGATATCTTATGAATTTATTTCTACTATTCGAGCACTATTAAGCATTTGTATATGAGTATTATTGACAGTAACAAAATTCATTCTCGTTCATAAACTATCTACCATTATTTTATTTATTTTCAAAATATTCTTTTTCGATACAAAATCTGTTGCAACAGCGTCAATATCAATTTGATAATCTTTCTCTATATTTATTAATGCCAAAGATGATAATCATTCTTGGTCACTTGTATTTCGAAGATACATTTTGATTCTTCTTAATTGCGTCAGTGGTTTTGTTCGACTGATGAAATTTAGACATAGCTTACTTCAAAATGAGATCTCGAAAATAGTAAAGAAATGTGATTATGTTTTACTTGAATGAAGCATGTCGAATGTATACAACCGTGAATGCATTCATCAAGATAGTAATAAAAAATTCATGAGATAATGGGTGATGAATCAATCCTTCTATTTTAATCTGAAATCGTATAGAATCTATGTTGAGTCATGTATTTTTACTCTAGTTTATCAAAGAAGCATGAACAACTTGGGGAAGCAATAAAGGTTTATTGCTTCCCCTTGCATTGCTGGTGCACCACCTATGGTTTACAAAGAAAACACAAAAAATTTGTGGTCGCAATGAATTTTTATTGCGTCCTCGAATTTTTTTTACGGAATGCAATTGCAACTCCTTGTAGTGCTGGCGCGCCGCCCATGAGAATGAGTAAAATATTTGAAAAGAAAAGTAAAACTCGAAAAGAAGTTCTGTTTATTGATTTAACCTTGTAGAAATCTATTAAAAGCATAACAATTGTATTTTAAAGTTTTCTTCAATTTAAATTAAAGTCTTGATTTATTTGTTACTTCGAACAAAATTTAATCTATATTTAGAAATTGCTTCTGAAACATTAAAAAATTTCTATCAACGTCTTCGGAAAGCTCGTGAAGAGGATGATTATATTGAAAATGATCTTCAATTATGGAAATCAAAATTAGACACTCTTAAAAAAGATATTACAACTCTTAATTCATCTATTAGTGTTCGTGAAGATTCAAAAGGCGCATTGATTTCGAATATATATTTATCATTAAAAAAACAACAAATACTTTCAAATGACAGTTTCTTAAGTTCATTTGGTGATATTCATATTGACGAAAATGGACAATCAGCTACGCATGATGATCAAAAACGAAGTGATGCTTATTTATGTGGAAAAAATGAATATAGACAAGGTAAACATAAAATTCGTTTTATTATAAATAAAAAAAATATCGATTACATAACAACATTTGGTATTGCATCAATGGAACCACAATTATCTGTTTATGGTTGGAATAGTGATGATCAAACAGTTGGTGGTGGACATTCTGAATCAAAAAATTCCGATGATCAACGTGATATGAAAGGTGAAACAACATTACAAATGGAATTATTAATTGATTGTGATAATAAAAAACTTTCATATGTTAATGAACGTACAAGATGTAAAAAAGAAATGAATGTTGATATTGATTTATGTCCATTTCCTTGGCAACTTTATTTTTATTTATATGATACTGGTGATCGTGTTCGACTTTTAACATCAAATCGAACATAAAACATAAACTTTTAAAAATAACAAAACATTATTATTAGATGTTTAGCGATCTTTTTAACAAAAAAAAAACATATTTTTCTGTATCCAACTATTCTATTTTTTAATAAATTATTGTATTCCATTCACGTAAATCATTAAAAAATAACAATTTTTTTTTGTTTTATAAAAATCTTTTAACAATCATCCATATGATATCGTCATGGATAGTGTATCAAACAATACTGTCAAATCCAAACATAGTCATAAGCATGTTTCTTCTTTTCATTAATAGGCTACGTGTATAAACACATATACGTCAATTTTAAAACGTACATAACCACTTATGAGGCTAACATTCACAGATGTCTGCGTCCTTTTCAGCTGATATTTTGCCCATGAGTAGATCTTAGTGAGCTATGAGAAATGCTTCCAAAAGGTTTATGCCCACGAGCATTCCTTGTCGAATTTAAAATTGTTGGAGTAGTTTTCATGCACATGAGAGTAATGACAAATACTTTTCGGAAACTTTGCAAAAGTAGAAGATTTGAGTAAACTTAATGATAAGTAGATTATACTAGAATTTCTAATGTTACAACCTTCAAAAGTTGGCAGATGATAAATCTGAAAATTTCTTAAAAATTCACCATAGTTTCCTCATGGAAGGGTGTGAGTGTTTATCGTCTCTTCACTCATACCCATATCCTCTTGCCTTAAACAATAAATGTGAATATCTGATATGACGCCACACACGGTACAGGAGAAAAAAATAGCAGGAAGAAAAAAAATAATGAATTGTTTGGATGATCCAGATCATAGACTATATATGGTATCCGAAAAGTCATTAGAGTTAGAAAAAATTGAATATCTCCGCTACGACTCGAGCAAACGAACTGACCTTTCTACCAATAATAGAGACATGTTCATACTTCAATTCCATACGGACAAGGTTAGCGAGTCTTTGTTGAATACCATCAATGACCTTAACAAAAAACATTTTACTTTTTTACAGATAGGAAAAAACAATAGACTTAACAAAGAGTCTCTCTAGGCATGTCTTTATGAATATAAAGCTTGAATATGCCTCTGTCATTGATAAAAGAATCAGCTAGTTTGCTCGAACCGTAGTGAAGATATTCAATTTTTTTTCGGCAAAGTGACTTTTGCGCCACTCTCTATATTGCTTTTTTCCTATCTATGAACAAGTAAAATGTTTTTTTATTAAGGTCATTGATGGTATTTAACAAGGACTCTCGCTAACCTCGTCCGTATGAATTTGAAGTATGAACATGTCTCTATTATTGGTAAAAAGATCTGTCCGTTTACTCGAGCTGTAGCGGAGATATTCAATTTTTTCTAACTCTAGTGACTTTTCGGACACCCTATATATTTACTAGGGCAATTCATTAAGGTATTACCAGAAGAAACTATCTAACTTATGCATATTATTGAAGATGGATACATATTTCGATCTGAACAAAATAATAAGAAAAGTTATAAAAAAATTCAAATTATGAAATGTAGTTGATTATTGTGAATATTAATGCTTAGATATTTTCTTGTGTATTTTCTCGAAAGATATTAAAAGTTAAATATGATATTATTGTTTGAAATTGAACTTTTAAACAAAGATCACTGTCTATATATGTATTTATTCAAAGTTAGATCGAATTTGATTTTTTGCTATTAGAAAGAAAAATAGCATCTCTCTGGACAGATATCAAACATAGAAGAGAAAAAAATTAATATAAAACAAAATTTTCTAGACAAAATATTTAACTATCTTTTCATGTATTCAAATGCATTGAAAAAGAGTGAGAAGTAGTTTATTAACTTCAAAATTTTGTGCTCTTTTAGAATATTTGCTTAGAATTTTTATGTGACTTTTGACTATTGATCTATAATTAAATTTTGACAGAAGTCAAAAATTTTCTGCAGAGACAAAAATCTTATTTTTCCGAGGATAAGTCTATTTCTCGTAGGTATCAAGTAAATTCTGTAAGTATGTAGTACTTGAGAATGATCTTTACTCTACCAAAAGATCCAAGAATCGAAAGTTTTGATTAATCTACTAAAAAAAAATCGCAGAGTTGTGATAAAGGATCAATTTGAGTTGAAAAAGTGAAAATCAGTAAAATAGCCATTTTTCTTACGATAGACTTTATAGAAAATTATTTTCTGCATCTTCCAATATATTCGATAAAATTTTGTGCCATGTTGAAAACAAGTTCTATTTGAGGATTTCCCTTTCCCAAAAAAATTTTTTAGTCTTTTCAAGATTCACTTATAGCTCGATAGTCAAATGTCACAAAAAAAAATCTCTAAGTATATATTCTAAAAGAGCACAAAATTTTGATGCTAATACACGACTTCTTTCTCTTTTTCAATGCATTTAAATACACGAAAAAATAGTTAAATATTTTGTCTAGAAACTTATGGCGATCAAAAGACAGCCGATCGTTTAAGTATTAAACTACCATCGATGTAGCACAATTATACCGAACAGCCTACCAACGATTTTTATCCAGTTTAACAATCACATGGTTTTTTCCCAAAAAAAAACTGCGCTTATCGTAGACAAATACATGTACTTAAAACAAAGGTCAACGAGACATTTTTTATCATTGTTTATTTATCATTCAAATTTTGTTTTTCTATCAAGCTAATCTAATCAATACACTTCTAAACTGTCATACTAATATCTAATATATTATCTGGATAAATTAATATCGTAAATTCTTTATTGCTAATGTTTTTATTTATTTTTTGATTGATAATTGTCTAATGCACATCCAACTTATCATCGAATATATTATACAAATAATATGACAGTTAATCTTAATGAAAATATATCAACAAATAATACTTAATCAAAAATGAAAGAATATAGGATTATTAACAACTTTTAATCATACTTTTCTTTCAAGTTATTATTCTAATAATGATAACATTTTTATCAATTGACATAGAAATTTTGATTTAATATTTAAAATATATATATAATGCACAAATTAAATTACAAAAAAAAATCTATTAATAACTCTTCTTTACAAAATTTGTCGACTTTTACATACATTAGATAATACGCTCAATAAAGACAGAAAAGAACAGAGATTATATTGATTAGTTGATAATAGTAGGAGTTTTTAAACACTTGACAACCTGTCATAAATAAATTATTATTAACTTCTTTGTGTTTAATCTATATTTTTGTCACTTGTGTTTTTAAAAGAACGATTTAGCGCAATGAAATACTTACTAATAGAATCTGAAAAAATGTAGATTAATGTTATAGGACCAATCAAAAGATAAGAAAAGACTGATAGAATGATCTTCTCTATGCATTAGAGAATCATTAAGACTGTATAATTACAAAAAAATTGTATCCGTCAATGACAACTGACAGAGAAAGAGCGAATAGAGAAGGGAAAAAAATAAGTATTTATATGATCTTATTGACGATAAATAAATACATTGATAAAATAATCATCAGATAATAAATATATGAAATAGAACATACAAATAAAGTTATATTTTCTAGTTTTAGATCAATATTAAATTTGTCTTCAAGAAATCGGGTAATATACACATAAGATTATATAAACTAATAATGATGTTTAAGTAATTCTCATTTTTCATCCTAATTATTCCACAAATGGTTAGTAAAATAAAGATTTATTCAGATTCGTACATTCAATTTTCTTCGAGTTAGATATTAGAAAATACAATTTAAAATTTAAAAAATCTTCTATTTAGACATCTACCATAGGTAGAAGAATTAATTTGTTTTAACAAAAACTTTTCATATTCTTTTAAACAAATATTATTATTGGTAATAATTCTCATCGATAAATGTTTAATTCAGTTATCCGCATAGTATTCAGTTCTTAAGTTTTAAAATCAATTGAAATTCTCTTTATCATAAACGAGACGGTTTGGAGGGATACCTTCTAGGATTCGTTAAATAACAACAGGGCATTATATAGAAAGCTGCTAATCGTTATATATTACGATGAGTGATGAGAAAAGATTTTAGAGGCGATTCATTAACTAAACCGAGTACTTTCGTAGTAGAACATCGCTACTAAAAATTTTATTCTTCTTCCAACATCAAATATACAATCTATTGTACTCTAAATGAGTCTGAAAGATAGAAGCGTATCATCTTTCAATGGCATTCTTTTTTAAACATAGCAGTTCAAATCAATCAATGCTAAAAATTCTTTTTCATATTCAAGACTACATTACAAAGATAATCTTGAATGTGATTATTAAAACCACTAGTTTGATAGTGTAGCAAACAGAAAAAAAATAACTTGTGATAATGCATCTGTTTCTATTCACTATTAATGTACTTTGATCAATATTTAATTAGAAGTCATTGTTTTTCTGAGTATATGTTACGATAGAAAAGAAAGTCAGCACATTATATCTTCTAGCTGGCGTTGACATTCCATTTGTTTTTCTTATCTGAGTATCTGACAACGCTTATTTTTAGTCGTCAATTAATGTTTTAGCGCATGTAAATATATTCTCATCCACGTAACTTTTCTTAGATTGAAATGTAACCATAGATCTTGTTGTGTGTAGAAACGTACTGTATTTTTAACTATATAGATTTCTATGTTCATGCTTCGAAATTTCTATAACTATATTATGAATAGGAATCTCACATTTTTTTTCTCGTAGCGTTTGATAGTGACAAGAATTTCTACTAATGTGAAATTTGTTTTTTTTGTGCTTCTGACAATTTTTATTTGTTTTGAAGATAAAAACGAATCATCAAAGAAAATACCTCTATTTATATATTGAATATCTAGGTCATTGTTGTGATATTTACTAAATATTACTTAGTATCGAATATTTAATTTATGTAAGAAAATAGAAATTATTTAGTTCTATAAAGAAAAATTAGTCTCCTGATTATGTCAACGTACAATTCTGAAATACATTCATTCGATGAGAAGTAATATTGAGATCTAAAAAGATACATTTATTCAGTAGGAAAGTAAGGAGATCTATAA